CCACATAGATTGGTCTATTTGTAGTGCATGTGTTTTTTTATAATTTTTATTATTGATGAGAGAAAGAGAGAGGGAGAGAGGGAGAGAGAGAGGGGGAGAAAGAGAGAGAGAGAGAGAGAGAGAGAGAGAGAGAGAGAGAGAGAGAGAGAGAGAGAGAGAGAGAGAGAGAGAGAGAGAGAGAGAGAGAGAGAGAGAGAGAGAGAGAGAGAGAGAGAGAGAGAGAGAGAGAGAGAGAGAGAGAGAGAGAGACATTGATTTGTTGTTCCATTCAATTATACATTTACTGGTTGATTCTTGTATGTGCCTTGAATGGGGATCAAACCCACAACCTTGGTTTATTGGGATGATGCTCTAACCAACTGAGCTACCCTGCTAGGGTTGTTTGTAGTTTTAATAAATAATATTAGATTATAAACCTTAGTCTTTTCTAGATTTTTCAATCAACATTGTTTTTAAAGGTCTGTCCATAGTGCTGTAGTACCTCTATGTTGTGGTTCTAACTATTGCATAGTTGTTTCACCAGCATATAATGTTCATCTCTTTGTTACATTTTGTTTTTCTTAAAGTTTCATGTATTCCTTGTTAGGTTAATTCCTAGATAATTCAGTTAGTTGCTAATGTGAAGGCATTTAACTTTCTGGTTGATTCCCTGTTGTCTGGGTCTCTGCATCTGATCCTAATTGAAAAGTAACGCAGAAATTTCAAGAAAAATCTGCAACCTCAGACACTGGATGAGATGGAGGGCCAGGACAATTATGTTTTTCATCTCTTCAGTATTTCTCAATACACAGTCTCAGAGTTTAGAAGCACACTGATAGCTTGGAATGCACCAAGATAAGCAGAAGCTAGCCCCACAGGCACTGGGATGGCCTGCACTGGACTAAGCTGTTACGTTTAGAGCTCATATCAGGGAAACATAAAAATGTGGAACTGGAATGGGAAGATGAAGCTATAGCAATTCCAACCCCCCTTCCTTCTGAGCTTCCGCCTAGCCCTAGTCCTGTGTGGAGGAAGGGCTGGACCACTGGGTCCAGGCTGAAAAAATGTCAGTTTGGCAGGGACCTATAGTCTTGCTAATTGTCCCAAAGCTAACAGTGTGGCTCCTTAGCAGAATGATGGTTCTTTTTATCCTCAGCCTTAGGAAGGTAGTGAAGGCTTTATGAGGCTATGTGAGCCTCGCTAGGAAAAGGGACCCACGCATGGCTCACAATGACAAGTAACAAAGGTGCTTCTCCCACTCAACCAGCACGTGATGAAATGTTTGCATTTCTTTTTTTTAAAAATATATTTTATTGATTTTTTACAGAGAGGAAAGGAGAGGGATAGAGTTAGGAACATCAATGAGAGAGAAACATTGATCAGCTGCCTCCTGCACACCCCCTGCCGGGGATGTGTCTGCAACCAACGTACATGCCCTTGACCAGAATGGAACCCGGGACCCTTCAGTCCGCAGGCCGACGCTCTATCCACTGAGCCAAACCGGTCAGGGCAATGTTTGCATTTCTGATGGTTTATGTAATGATGTAAGCAGAAGAAAATCACAGTGCCAACTGGTCAGACATCCAGCCAGCCAGCAAACATTTACCAAACACCTACATCTGTCCATACTGTGCCAGGTATTAGCAATACAGAGCGGGACTAGATATAGTTCTTGTTCTCAAGTAACTTAGATATAAACAAAATAGTTTAGTAAAATATTCTAGTAATTGTAGATTTGGGATAGAGCATGTCACGAAGAAAAACTAGACTAGGGTCTAGAGCAGCCGTGGGCAAACTACGGCCCGCGGGCCGTTTGAAATGAATAAAACTAAAAAAAAAAAAGGCCGTACCCTTTTCTGTAATGATGTTTACTTTGAATTTATATTAGTTCACACAAACACTCCCTCCATGCTTTTGTTCTGGCCCTCCGGTCCAGTTTAAGAACCCATTGTGGCCCTCGAGTCAAAAAGTTTGCCCACCCCTGGTCTAGAGAGTCCAGAAAGATTTTTGAAAGATGATTACACGTGAGCTCATTATAAACATTGGGCAGGTATTCCTCAGGCAGACCACGCGGGAGAAAGCAGAGCTGAAAAAGCAAGGATGACGCTGCTTGCTGGGCTCAGGAAACTGCAGACATGTTCACACAACTGTCATGTTCAGCACCGTGTCCCCCAGACCTAAACACATCCCGGAACACACTGTGTCACGGATGAATGAGTGCAGGAAGGAAGGAAGGAAGGAAGGAAGGAAGGACGGAAGGAAGGACGGAAGGACGGAAGGAAAGAAGGAAGGACGGAAGGAAGGAAGGAGGAAGGACACAGGGGAAGAGCACAGGCTTTGGAGTCAATGTTTAGATGCTTGCTTTTAAAACCAACGGTGGCTCCTTTCTTTATGCTAGGCCTGTTTTTTGTTCTTTTAAAATAAACTATATTATATAAGGTATCTAAGAGTAGTCAAATTCATAAAAGAGAAAGTGATAGTTGCCAGGAGCTGGGGGTAAGGGAAATGGGGAATTGTTTAATGGGTATGAAAAAGTTCTGGAGATGTTCTCACACAATGTGGATTCACTTCACACTACTGAACTGTGTACTTGAGAATGGTTCAGGTGGTAATCTTTTACGTATATTTTATCACAATAAAAAAAATAAACGATAAAGTCCCCCAGTTACTTAAGTTAGGAAAGGGTTATTCTGTTTATATTATCACACGATGATCTGGGCCAGAATGTGTTCTCAGATATGAGACCCCTGCTGTTTTGTGAGATAGACATAGAAGGCTGGATTCTGGGCATCAACTTTAAAGTGAGAAAGGTTTCTTTGCTTCATATTTTTTCTCATTTGTAATTTTAATCCATGCATTGCTAATTCATTCCGTTTTAACTATTTCTTATAAGCACCAAATTTACATATATATTTTTAACATATTTCAAAGAGGGAGAGGGAGAGGGAGAGGGAGAGAAGGATAGAAACATCAATGATGAGAATCACTGATTGGCTGCCTCCTGCACACCCCCGACTGGGGATTAAACCTGCATGTGCCCTGACGGGGAATCGAATGGTTACCTCCCTGTTCATAAAATGATACCCAACCATTGAGCAACACAAGCTGGGCATAAGCACCAAATTTTAATATCTAAGTTAACTTTTGGGGGAACATCATAGAGACTTTCCTCCAGAACAAAACAATGATATTCATTCCTCCAAACAATCAAATTCAAAGTCTAACAAAACAAAAAACACAAGAAAAGCCCATACATTTTTTAAAAGTAACAAAATCACATTCTAGGGGTTCATTGAGCAGCCTTCTTCAAGCTGTCTCATTATCTTCAGCTGGCTTTCATAAACAAAAGCACCCTAGCTCATAAAAACATACATTTTCCATTTGCTTTTTTAAATTAAAAGTAATTATTAGACTTAAAAAAAAAAACACTTGAAGAAATTCACCAGCAACTGCCTGACTCCATTCCATGGCATGTGCAGCATGTGCAGGTCAGGAAGGCTATCTGCAACATTCAGGATCAGGGCATCCTGATCTTCAAGGCTGAGCTTTCTTCCAAACGGTGTAAAATACCCACATCTCCAAGTATGAAGGGACACAGACCACTTCCTTGGAGAATTCCACCGGGCAGTAGAGGCATCCAAGCTGCTGTTCGTAGAGTGAAAGGGCTTCCGTCAGGTTGACACCGTTTCCCTGTGTGAAGTATTTCCCGTCCGGCTTCAGCACCCTCATGGACAGGTCCAGGATCAGCCTGAGGAACTCCCACGTGGAGTCCTGCTCCGGGGCTGTGGAGATGGGAACCGCCGTCAGGTCGTTGATCACATAGTCAAACGCTCTGCCCTCGCTGGCGTACCTCTTCAGCACCGGAACGCAGTCCTCCACCAGAACCTGGTAGCAGTCTCCCGTCAGCTGGTCCAGGACGTCGCCGCACGTTTTCCGCATGTACTTCTTACACCCGTCGATCACCATCTGGTCAATCTCGACCATCGTGGCCATCCTGGGCTTCAGTTTGACTATTTCGCATAAGACGCCTCCATCCCCGCCTCCCAGGATCAGCACGTCTTTGCCAGCGTAATCCTCTCTGCCGCTGCCCATGATGGCATGGGTGTAGACCCAATCGCTCTCCGCCAGGTTGATGTCCCCGCTCAGGATGAGGATATTCCCGTACTGCTTCGAGTGCAGGATCTTAATGTTCTGATAGGGCGAGTCCTCATCATACACCACCTCGTCGATGTCGTACTCCACCAGGCGGCCGTCGGCCGTGGGCCAGTACCGGTCGATGGCCCCTCCTCGAACGATGGGTGGCAAGCGCTTCGCCCTCCCAGGGTTGCCCCGACTCAGGTCTTTCATTCTTTCCTCTACTTCGTTCAAAAGACTGTCCACCTCCGTGGCTTGCGCATCGCCGCCGTAGCTCTGAAGGTCCAGCGACACCAAGCCGTGCGGGTAAATTCTCAAGTTGGCGAAGCTGCCGCTCGCGCTGGTGTAGGTCGCCAAGCAGCCGTGGTCCTGCCAGGTGTGCAGCGACTCCGTCATGCCCCGCGCCCGGAACACGGGCCGCAGGGCTGCGAGGACGGTCTCGTCGCGGGCTCGGGCGCCCGGCAGGAAGTCCAGCGTGCAGTGCCGCGCGGCGGCCATCCTGCGGCCCGGCCGGAGGGGGCGGCGGCGGGACTCCGTGCGGGGGGAGAGCGCTCGGAGCCCTGCCGAAATCTCTTGTCGTAAATGACTGCCCAGGTGGGTCCCAATCACAAGTCCACGACCGTCCCACTCGGCCGCGGCAGGGAGAGTCCTTTTCCGGGCGCATCCAGGGGCGGGCCCCGTCACCGGCTACGTCCAGAGAAGCGGCGGAAGGTGAGTCCGGCGCCCGAGGGGGCGGGGCTTGGGGAGGCTCCGGGAGGCGGGGCGGGC